AATAAAATAAAAAATAAATAAAAAATTGTTATTTTTAATGCCTTTTGTGAGTCCCATAACTTTACGAAAGTAAACCATCGACTCTCTGGAGAACCCCTTTAAGACACATTGCTTTATCTTACATTTTGATTTCAAGGTGCCGCCATGCACTGATTTGATAAGTCGACTCTTCTTTACCTGATTACACTGTATTCATAGTCTGACAGTAGAGATGAGCCTGAAGTAAAATCTGTCTAGTTCTGTCCTGTAATCATGTTCTTGCTTTTTATTTGCTTTTGTTTGTTTTTGTTATATTAAAAAAGAGGAAGTATATATTTACTTTTTTCATAAAGAAGTGGCATCGACACTACTGTTTTTTTCCTTTTGTGCATGCAAACTGAAACAACATACAGTACATATCCTGTGGAGGATGTGGTAAGACATTTGTGGCACCAAACCACAGGTGACAGACAGCAAGAACCAGATTTAGACATATGTCCTGAACAAAATAATAGATTAATGTAGATTTTAGATTTAAAAAAGGTAAATATTTGAATATTGCAATGCCTGTTAAGATGGTGCAGTGGTTAGTAGTGTCACAGCAATTAGGTTCACACCTCACAGCTGACCACGGCCTTTCTGTGTGTTCTCCCTCTGCCTGCATGGATTTTTTCTTGGTAAGTGATATAGATAATAGATGGATGGATGTAACAACTGAAACTGAAGCATAAATTCCTTTTTTGCCTATTTGCTGGTGTTTCTCTGTAGGGATGCTGGACCCCTGCCTGAGAGTATAGAGCTGGCTGGCAGTAGCCTCACAGTTCAGGGTCCTGCTGAGCTTCACCATGCTGGCCTGTATGAATGCATTTTCTCATATCACCATCTTAAAGCAACCCTGCAGTTCAACATCACTGTTAAACCTCAGGTTATTCAGCCTGGTAGGTGAAACTCGTTGCCAGAATTTCTGTCATCAATACACAATGAATTTTATGTATTATATGTAATATTGATGTGGAACCGTCTCTGCACGACCTTCCCCTCAGTTCCGCCGACAGTACAAGTTGATTTGCGAGTTGAAGATAGACACAGGGTGATTGAGTGCTCAGCAGCTGATGCTGTTCCTGCAGCCAACCTGTCCTGGCTTCTACCAGAGGGTGTGTCAGGAGTCTCTTGGTTCAATTTCACTTCTCATAATGGAAGCCACTCTGTCAGGGGAGTTTTACTCCTCCCTGCCTGCTTGCCTTGGGAGCTCACTGCAGTGTGTGTGATAAATCACCCAGTATTTGAGGAGCCAGTGAACAGAAGCATAACATTCCCTCTTTGCGGTATGTTCAGCAAATAAAGCAATGGATAATTTTGTCTGAGTAGCAGGCATATTTGGCTGTAGTTTAACGTCTCTTTCACACACAGCTCACCCCAATGTTACCATCAGCTCCAGCACTGAATGGAAAAATGGTGAACTATACACAAAGGTGGACTGCTCTGCGGACAGTGTTGCCCCTGCAGGGGCTATAACCTGGCATGTTGAAAACAATGACATTATTAGTCATCTGACAGAGAGTGAAGTCCAGGCTGATGGATCAGTATCGGTCCACAGCTCAGTTCAGTTCTTGTCTTCTTTGTATGCTGGTCAGAATCTGACCTGTATGGTGACGCATCCAACTATGGAGGCATCAGAAAACAGAACAATACACATTCCTGTGCACAGTACGTTATTCCTTTTGTTGAAATATTTCTTTCTATGACACGCACAACCTCATACAGCTGCTCATCTCATTCCTGTCACCCCTTGTTTTCTTTCAGAAGCTCCTCTGCTGAGTGTAGCTGTGATGAGACAGCAGAATTCTCATCTCTGGCTGGCAGTGTGTGAGTGTAGAGGCGGGGGGGTCAGGACAAACCTCGCCTGGCTTCTTCCTGATGATGCCAAAGGCCAAACATCCCTGCAATCACAATATGAAGGGCATGTCCTAAAATCCAGGCTGACTTATCAGTTTCCGTTGGCCCTTCATGAGGGGCAGTACCTGACCTGTGTGTTCCAGTTTGAACATGGGATAACAGAGAAGAGGAGCATTTATATCCCCAAATTCTGTGAGTGTAGAAGCAATAGTCATATAAACACTTTATAATTATTACACAATGTTGTTATTTACACAATTATTCCTACTGTAGAAACTCACATAAATGCATTTGTCTCAATATATGCAGTTTATCTTTAATGTTCAGCTGACTTTTCTACAGATATTTCTGCTGTGAGAGTCTTGAACCACACGACTCCTCTGCAAAGCCGCTATGGTGGTAAACCCATCATACACAGACTGACACTCCGGGAAAATCATCACAACCAGAATATATTGTTCCAAGTGGAAGGAAATGTGCCACAATACAACCTCAACTGTAAAAGGTGGTGTATCCTCTATTATCTACCACCTAATCATCATCAGGAAGCACCGGCACATACAATGTGCTGTAAAGTGCAATGCTCCCACTATGCTGTTGCACAACACTGAGCAACATAAATTTAAAGGAGTTGTGTGACATATTGTAAAATGCACTTATTCAGTGTCTCGATTAGAGTTAGATGAGTTACAACCAGGAAATGGTTAACGTAGGTCAGCATAAAGACTGGAAACAGGGGGAAACAGACAGTCTTGCTCTGTGCAAAGGTAACAAAACCCACCAATGTGCACCTCTAACATGTTATACTGCAGCTTGCCTGCTGTACAGTACTAACTGTTAAACTGGCAATTTGTGTGTGTGTGTTTTTTAGGTTTACATCTTTATGCTAATCTAAGCTAACCAGCTACTGGTGGTTGTGTTATATTAATTGTAAAAATGAAAGCGGTAGCAATTGCCTCATCTAATTCTCTGCACGAATAAGCATATTCTTGTATGCATTAACCAAGGAAGATAAATCCTATGAGTAAATGAGCTTTAGAGGTGATAGTACAGGGGGTTGGTTGGTTGCTTTTGGACAAAGCCAGTTAAGCTAAGCTGTCTGTCTGTCTGTGGAACCAATCGTCTCCCCATATCAAGAAAGTAAATAGCGTGTTTCCAAAAATGCTAAACTTTTTTTTAAATTCAGTTAAAAGTTATTTATGTTTCAGGAGTGATGGCTCATTCGTCTACATGGAAGGGCTTGCAATGGTCTTCCAGTCAGAGCTCACAGAGGAGGATGAAGGCCTGTACATCTGCCAGGCATCCTTCTATCACCACACGGCTACAGTCAAAATTCAAGTGGAGGTCACGAGGGAGGACAAACGGTTTGGTGAGTGCCCATGTTGTTGTATTTTCTGTCTATATTCAGGGAGCTGAGTGACATGTTTACTTCAGAAATCCCGATCATATCAACATGCTGAGGTAATATGGAGGTTTACCAAGACATTAGTCTAAATGTTGATTTACTCTACTGTGTGTATTTGTGTTGCAGCTTTGATAGCCATGAGCTGCGTCTCTTCAGCCTTGGCCATCATATTCATCCTTGTCGTTGTTCTCTGGGTTTGCTGGTGAGTTAAATACCTCCACAGGTGACAGGCTGCAGCTCAGCAGGTGAAGTATTGAGGGGCAAATGAGGGCAATGCTGCTGACGCTATACAGTATGAAACAAACAGGATGTGTGGATTGTTAACGCAAGTCAACCCAAACCTCAGTATCATGCAGTTATTCACAAACAGGAAGCAGTGTGGCAAAAGCATACAGGTGTCTGTGCCACCGCAGCCCTGCTTGTAGACAGGTAGAAAATCTCGCCTCAGTCTGTGTGCACAACAGATTTACTTTCCAGTTTCCTGCTTTGGCCTTTAGCAGTGTTACTTCTGGCAATCTGCAGTAGACTGCAGTTAGTTGGCTCCTTATGATCAATGACACGTTGCAGAATTAAAGGTAAAGGGTTCAAAAAGTGTTTGGAAGTTAATAATGAAATTTGAGCTGCTGTT